AAAAAAGAAATGTAATGACTCTCTAATTTGTCTCCAGACCTGCCTTCACATTGAAGTTCCAGCCCCATGTTTCCATCTAATATTTTCTCAAATTCATATTCATCATGCCCAGTACCCTCTTCTGAAAAAAATAACCCCTCTGCCAACAATTCCTCGTCAACTCGATTAGTGTCTTTACCACTCTCAATGTCATCCAGACATGTAATCTTTGACTTTTATTGTTCCTTCCCTGAGGGCAGTGGGAATTCAAAAAAACATTTCTTGAATTAAAGATCTACCAATGCTTTAACTTGTTTCTCCATTCTCACTCCCTCAGGCTTAATTCAAAACTTCATTCTCCCATGCTTATTAGATTATTATAGCAGCCTGTGATATTCTTCCTAGATAGTGAGGATTCCACTCAAGACTAGGGCTGAGCAAACTCTTCTGTAAAGTTTAAAGTAGAACTCTGTCATCATAGTGCATATAGAGCCATAAACAATCCATATACGTGAGTGTGGCTGTATTCCAACAAATGACTATTCACATAAACAAGTGACAGACCACATTTGGTCCTCATGCCATAGTTTGCTAACCTCTGTAGTAGACTATGAAGTTTTTTTTCAAACGAAAACTTTTCTTATCCCTGCTAATTCAATATAGAATCCAATTATGTGGGTCAAGGAAAATCTAATTTTTTTCTTTTTACATACGACACAGGTTGCCAGCTAGAAATTAGAATTAATTACTTAGGTATGTTGCTCATTACTTTCAAGACCTTATTTTCTCTTTAAATTTATGGACCTTGTAAGAATAATTTACTGGAAATTACATCAGTAGTACTGTAAAGGCTTTGATCTAAGCAGGACAAATTGGAAGAGTTGGCAGCCAAGTCATCTTTCTGTCTTTTATGGAAGAATATTTCAGGAATGATAGAAGCTGCCAATAAAAAATTTTGATTCAATGAAGTAGATTATGATGACATTGATGGACTTTTGATTTCAATAAGCAGGAAGGGCCCTGAATTCCCCTTTTAGATCTTGAGATGAAATTTGGTTATAAAAGAAGGTATGAAAAAACAATGCAGAATGGCAGCTCAGAAGCATCCTATTGATCTAGATTAGAATTCTTTTTCCCCATATTAAAATGGGACATGTAATTTCGCCTGATTCCATCATTACACAGTGTATACACATATCAAAACATCATGTATTCCATAAATACACATGATTTTTATTTGTAATGAAAAATAAATAGCTTCTTTCTTTCTGTGCCAATAGTGTGCCCACAAACATGGTGAATGTTCCTCAAACCGACTGGACCTTCTGTTAGGTGTGGCAAGCACCAACCCAACAAAGTGACAGTACAAGAAGAGAATTCTCTGGATGTCCAGGGGAAGTGGCTTTATGACAGGAAGCAGAGTGGCTATGGTGGGCACACCAAGCTGGTTTTCTGGAAAAAGGCTAAAACTACAAAGAAGATTGTGCTAAGGTTTGAATGCATTAAGCCCAACTACAGATCTAAGGGAATGCTGGCTGCCAAGAGATGCAAACATATTGAAATGGGAAGAGATACGAGAAAGGGCCAAGTGATCCAGTTATAAGCTTCATCTTTTGTTTTATTATGAAGACAATAGAATCTTTGGGTTATGTTGATAAATAAATAAATGGGATATGGAGTTCTACAAGTTATCTATGTACCCATTCATCAGCTAACTAATGTCCCCCACTCCTCCTCATAAACATGGAAATAACCAGGATTTATGAAATGAACAATAAATTTCTTACAAATACCTAAAAAGGAATAAACATTATATTTATAACAATGTTTGCATACTTGGCTTCCTGCCAAATATGACTGTAACGAATAACTTAAAACCTTCCAATGGTTTCCCCCTCTATACATTAAAATAAAACCAGGATTCCTCATCATGCCCTACAAAGTCCTATACGATATGGTGTCTGCTACTCTCTTGGACATCACTGCTGACTATACTTAGGTTGCTGTGATCACAATGGCCTTGTCCGCTCTTCAAACATGCCCAGCTTGTTCTTGCTTTAGGGCTCCTCCATCTGCCATCTGTTGGTAACATAAACCCTCACAGCTTCACAAGGCTCATTTCCCTCAGGTCTCAGTTCAAATGAGATCTCCCCAGACCCTGGCCATCCAATCTAAACTAGTCTCTGTCACTCTAGAAATAACCCTGTTTTGTTGTTTCTAGTAGTGTATCACAGTCTCAAATGACTTTCATTGTTTATTCATTTATCTTCTTTACACCACCCCAGCCCATACATCGACTGAACATACGATCCATGACCAGGTGCTCTGCCCATTGGCCAACACTGAATCCCCAATACCTAGATGAGTGCTTGACACTTGGCCATTGGTAACTATTAAATACTTATTATAATATCTTCTGAGTAAATGAATAACCATCTGTGTCCCACATAAGTCTGTGGTCTTTGGAAGGACTGGGGAATCTCAGGATCCTAGAGGAGGCCC